AGAATACTATATTCAACTTTATGTAATGATGGATCATGTTTAAACTTTATGTTTACATCATGTCACATGTATGTAGATGGTTTTGTTTGATCATCAGGATGGCCGATTGGTGGCCATTTTTGTGTTCATCAAAATCAAAAATTTCTGCCGTTCTGAAAGCAGATCTCGGTCTGAATGGATGGATAATGTCAAAAACTAGGTACATACATTGGACATCATCATCATTGTTCATGTTCAAACTTGATATATTTCGTAAATATAACATACGGTTTTTTTCTCATTAAATCTTACTAAAATAGAATTGACATAATCATAGAAAACAGTGTAGCATGTGAAACAGGTCAAAGGAGAACATGTACAGATGATAAAAACATTGCAACTCCTATTGCATTACTTTGCTACGGTTTTCTGTAGTTAGTTGTGAATTTTAAGGAAGTTTATTGCCTGAATAAAGAACTTGAGAAAGTATGTCAATGCCACAAGTCTTTTGATGTCATTTTAGCTTTGTTTACCCTTTTTTTCAAATTGAACGTGTTCATGGATAAACAAACGTGATAATCATTTAATTTTTTTCATGTAGGTGGACATTTAACCCAGCAGTTTTAACTAAAGTGCCGAACTCCAACAGTACAGTGACGAGTGCCAGTGAAACATCAGTGTCCACTGTACCTTTCCAAGTAGGTGATCTAGTACAGATATGCAGTGACTTGGAGAGAATCAAGGTCTTACAGCGTGGTCATGGTGAATGGGCTGAAGCAATGTTACCGGTATGTTCTTCTGCCAGTGCATTCATTCTGATTGCAACATGTTTCTTAAGTGAAATTGTGAAGTCAGCACCCTAATTCATGTTTGTCTGTCCTCCATCTATCAACATTCGCTCTTTAACCTTTTCACCCCCAGTTTCCTCTTTCATCACAAAATAGTCCCGTTTATAGTTTGCACTTTCCTTCAGAAGTTTGGGACAAAAAATAGCCACATGTTTTGAATAAAAACTGAAATTTGACTCAAATTTTGTCTGTTGGCTCCAAAATTAGGGTTCATTTCTAAAAATATTGAATAATATAAGAAAGAAGTGCAGACAATTTTGGGTGAAAAGGTTAACTTTTTAAATGTTCTTATCCACTGTCGACTTTGTTGAGCGGAGCTTATCATATGAGTGATT